ATAATGGCACAGGAAATGGGATTATTAGAGAGGCAAGTAAAACTTCAAAGGCTAGAAGTGATCATGGTCTCAGATTACTTATTTTAGGGACTTGTTGATTTGAGTGGTTCTGTCTGCCCATCCTCCAGGCTGCATAATAACTTTCTGCAGAATAAGATACTCTCACCTTTGTATCTTGCTCTGGCTTCGTAGGCATCCACATCTGACGAACCTGTGTACAATACTGTTTGCTGCTGAGGGAAAATCCTCAGGTGCTGTCTATGGTGTCTACCCAAAGAAAATGACCCCCAGCCATCCTTGACAATGAACATGTAATGCAAATACCAGAATAAGAAAAAGAGAAAGAAACAGAAGCGATATTTAAAGCAATAACAATAAAGATTTCCCCCAAATTAATGTCAGAAACAAAACCAAAGATCCAGGAAGCTCAGAGGGCACCAATCAGAATTAATGCCCCCAAAACTACACCTAGGCATATCATATTCAAACAGCAGAAAATAAATCCAATCGGCATTTTTTAAAGAAATGGAACACAAAATCATCAAATTTGTATGGAAGCACCAAAGACCCCAAACTGCCAAAGGCATCCTGAGAAAAAAGAACAAGACTGGAAGCATCATTTTGCCCAACTTCAAATTATACTACAAAGCAACAGTAATCAAAATGGCATGGTATTAGCAGCAAAACAGACACATGGACCAGTGGAACAGAATCAAGAGTCCAGAAGTAAACCCATACTTATATGGGCAAATAATTTTCGACAAAAAAGCCAAAAATATACAGTGGAGAAAGGAAAGCCTCTTCAATAAATAGTGCTGGGAAAACTGGAAAGCCACCTGCAAAAGAATGAAACTAGACTGTTGTCTATCACCACACACCAAAATTAACTCAAAATGGATTAAGGACCTGAATATAAGACCTGAAACAATAAAATGCATAGAAGAAAACATAGAAACTAAACTCAAGGACTTGGACTTAAAGAGGATTTTATGAATTTGACCTCAAAAGCAAGAGAAGTAAAAGATAAAATAAATGAATGGGACTATATCAAACTAAAAAGCTTCTGCTCAGCAAAAGAAACCGTCAACAAGGTAAAGAGAAAACCATCCGAATGGGAA